AATATAAGCACCCACACGCTTCTCAACTTCTTCAATACATTTTTTGACAAGGTGTTTGTGATCATCTGAAAAGACAATGGATGCCAAAGCACAAAGTGTTCCGCACCGTGCAAGCTCTCTGAGAGTATATTCGGGGTTCGTCCAGTAGCCAATAACATCGTCGGCACCTCCTATTCCATGGTTGTGTATGTCAACAAAACCGGGAAGGATAAAGCCCCCCTCCACAATCTCGATCTGGGCGTTATCGTAGCGCTGCTGTAGATCATTCTCCGAAGGCAACGACGCAGAGCCACCCACATTTTCAATAACACCGTCTGCGACAACCACAAAACCATCATAGATGACCTCCGAAGGAGTCACGATGTTGCCTTGAATTAAAGAAACAACTCTTGACATCACAGAGAGCACAACCTTCGTAAAATATATATATATATATATATATAGAACAGAATAAATAAAAAATCAAATTTCCAAAAGAAGCATATCTGAAGCATAAGTAGAAAATGGCATCCCTTAAATTGGGTCAAGTACATATACATATATATATGTACTCCGAAAACAAATCCGTAAATATATATATATGGCTGTAGACATGTAATTAACAATCAAAGCCTAAAATAAAGACCCGTGAAAAAAAAACAGAGACAATTTAAAGCCATCGTTAAAAATTTCATAACTCCTTTGGATTAACAAAGGATGGCCCCCGTGAATACACTTCGAGCTTTAAAACGGCAGATCCTGAGAGCGCAAAAACAAAGGGTTCACATAAAAGATCCCAATAAAAGCACATCACCCACTCTCTATATAATTCACTTAAATCGTCTTCTTCACATAAGCAGGAAATAAAAGGCAAATATGAAATGGAAATCTCATTCAACTCATCATAGAGCTGATACGTTCTCGGTGAAGAATACTGAGCATCCACCAAAGATGTATGAGTGGAACGCTATCAAATGTTCAACAATAATATATTATCCTTCAAGCCCCACCCAACTCAACAAAAGGCTAAGCATGCGCATGCACATAGGAACATAACTAAACACCAGCACAAGCTCCACAAGCACAGTGCAATTACGGAAAAAAATAAAATAATAAATAAATAAATAATATTCACCTATCCGTTTTTCTCTGCTTGGGTTGCTGAAATAGAGTAAAGCTATGCTGAGGCCCCCACATGGCAGTGTCCTTCATTATGTTGACTTGAAAGGGTTGGTGAGAATGTCCTTGTTGCAAACCAATAAGAGCCTGTTGTCCTTGAAGCATCAAAGGCATGTAGTGTGGTTGAGTCATCACAGAAGTCATTTCCTCAGTTATCCCCGAAAAGGCAACTGTGTTCTGTTGAAGAGGCTCTGATCCAACCAATGCTGGTATCCTATGCATGCCAGGCAAGAGTTGTGGGGTCAACACATTCTCGGCTCCATTTTTTTCAGAAAAATGTGAAGGGGCTGTCCCCCGTCGACTCTGCTCCTTCTGATGTTCCTGTTTTCGAAGAGAAGCCCGTTGTCGACGCGCCAACTTTGCCTCAACCTTTACCCCATAAGGTGAATTCTTTAATAAGTTTTGAAGAGGCATAATAGAGTCGCGCAATTGTTCAAACTGACTTTCCACCGAAGAGGTCACAATGGCTGTTTGAATAACGTAGTTGGCATAGCTGTCAGTCAGTAGTTTAGGCAATACTTGGGGGTCCGTCAATTCGTCTACTAAAAGTTGCCTCACATCCGAAGAAACAGTCCTCAAACACTTTTCAATG